GGCATCCCACATATAAAGCAGAGGAAGATGGGCACGGATGTTAGTTCACGGCCAACCTTCCTCAGCAAAAAACAGGAGGATTGGCAGCAGATGTTAGCTCAGAGCTAATCTTCCTAAAAAAAAAAAATAGTAGGGAAAGAATACTACATGGGCATGCGTAGGTAGGTTGGACCAGATAGGTGAGACCAGTGTAGATAGCTGTTAGGTAGGTAGATATGGTGGAGGGAAGAGGAATTAATTTGTTTCCATTTTCTTCTTATACTTTCTCAACGAAGTATGAGTTGAGGTCATCAGCTGAACAGGGTGGGTAACTGAAAATAGATATTTTAAAAGGAGAGAAGAAAGTGTGACATAGTCATATAAATAAGCAGAAAAGAGAAACTACCATGGGAATGAAGTTGGGCTGTACAACAGTGTCCAGCAGAAATTGTGCTTATGAATTTAAGTGAGGCCAGTCAGTGTAATTATGTAATATTCTTCCAATAATGTTCAGCTTTTTTGGTGAAGGCATGGAGTAGATGGATAATTGGTTGAAACAAGGATGGAGGTACTCCAGCAAGTGCAATGAAGGGAGAGAGGGGCAGAAAAATGAAAGAAGTGATTGTAGTGATGGGCTATGGAGCTTAGGGTGGGTGAGGAGGGAAGGAATGGCGATCAATGGATTTGACATCTTGATGACATGTAAGAATCACTGTGCGACGTTCTAGAGCACGTGAGTTACAGGGATAGGTTGTGGTGTCTCAGAGAGGGAGGTTTAAAATCAAGACAGTTTCTCTTGCATTAGAGGCCATAATCAGTTATCCAAAGTCCCTTTTGCCAGATGTATTCACGATTCAGAATCTTTCAAATTTCACAAAACAAATATGGTATACATGTCATATGCCAATGGGATACAGGTGGCACCTCTTATCAAACCCATTAATATTTCTGTAGCAAAACCATGAATTGTCACATGAAGTCAGGAATAAATAAAGACTGTTAATAGCCTGGGAACAAGTCAGATCAGGTCATCCTGCCAACTGATTTGCCAGATCTTGTCAGGTTTGGCCTCCAAATGAGTAGCCAATAAATAAATAAATAAACAAAGGTGGCAGAGCCTTTTGATTTGCGGATTTCTGATTAGAGATTGTGAATACAACAACCCTCTGTGTCCCAAGTCATGAGATTTCTTATTTCCTCTTCTTTTCTCGTTTTCTCCAAGAGACTTCCCACACTCCCTGAGGAAGACAGCCATAATGCTCAAACAATAGGCATAACGTGAACGTGCTCTTTCTCTGAATGTCACACATGTTTACCAAAGCTCATCTAGAGGAATAAAGTTTTAAGCACAACTCATGAAAAACTTAACCTCCTATAAAAATATGTGATAAAAGTAAACTCGCTTCTGTGGAGATGGGGAGGGGTGGGGGAAATTACACCAGAGTGTGCCGGCTCTGGAGTCGCTCTGTGGTCAGCCCCCATCCTTGGGTTTGCATTTGTGGGGAGGATCCGCCCCACAGCTGTGCCTCACTCGTCTTTAGAGATGCTGTCTCCCACCATGTCCTAAGTTAGTGAATTGTAATCAAAAAGCACAGAGTTGAATGTGCTGGGAAATATACATTACGCTCCATTGTGTAACTGTGTAATTACTGTGCTATACATGCTGGACAAGAGATTGACTGAAAACTGGAGAATTAAACAAAGTTGTGGTTAATCCTGGACCAAATCCAGCAGGCAGACGAATGAAACAATCCTGATATTTTGCCAAGGCCGGGGCTATAGATAACCGAGCTGGGCATGGGGTAAGAGGAAGAAGCAGTCCAGTGAAAGTTTAGATTAGAAAGTTGATGAATGTGGCAAGTTTGTTCAGAATGATCTCTTAGGATGGATCGTTTGAAAAAAAAAAAAGCACAATTTTCTATATCTTTAAGTTTCAGTTACCTTTCCATGTTTCAAGCAATGTTTCTATTCCAACCTTTAGCAATGTTTAATCTTGTTGACGACAGTAATAACCATCTTTGTTGTTTGTAATTTATTGGGGTGAATCTGTTTTCCCTTAGGATAATTTTTCTTGCCTGACATTCCTGAAATACCACAGAATTTGCAATGTTGGTTCATTAAGAATTTCATTTTTCCAAAAGCTTAAGAAAACCATATATTTATGATAGGGCTAACTAAGCTAATTAACATTGTAAGTATATTCCTGAAAAAGTCCATTCCAGGTGGAAGAAAGAGTGAGCAAAAGTGGAAAAGTAGAAAGATGTGTATGTGCAGGGAGTTCATTCCAGCAGGACAGAGCATGCAGGTAGGATCACTGCGAGTGCAGAGCAGAAATGAATGTCACCACCCAGTTTTGAGGCTCTTAAGTGCTAGCCTGAAGAACTGGAATTTAGTTAGTTTGTTGGCAAAGATAGTGCAGTTGAAAGGTTTTTGAATAGGAAAATGGCATTATCATATTTACATAGCTTTTTCCGCAGAGCTCAAACCACTTCACATTCTTCTGAGTCATTTAATATGTCTATGGCTTTAGGGTAACATCAAGTTAATTTGAGCCCTTGTCCTAGTTTTTACTGACTTCCAAGACCTGGAATCTATAAATTAGTCTGCCAGTGACTCAAACTTTCTGAACTTCATTTTACTTACATGTAAGTGGGGATAATAATACTAATTTTATAAAGTCCCTATGAGGATCAAATGAGAGAATATGTAAACCACATTGTGTAGGATATGGCACAAAGTAGATGCTCATTATAAGTCAGTTCTCCTCCAAGGCCTTCCATGTCTTCTAATAATTAGAAGGATAACATCAGAAAGAAAATATCCCCCACATAAACCTTTTCATTATTTCTTTATTCAATTTGACAGACCTTTATATGGCAGCTTGCTGGCCCTAGGACAAAAAGATGAATAAAATAAGAGCCCTTTTCTCAAGGATTCTGTAGCCTAGTAAAGGAGGCAGAAACCACATTAGTAACCAGAACACCAAGCAAGAAGGAGAATTAACAAAATACTGCGAGCAGAGAGAGTGGGAACTAATTCTAGCCAGTGGGTCTGTGAACCCTTCATAGGAAAGCTGATATTGCAGCTGGGCTTCCCAAAATGAGGAGGTAAATGTGTGAGCAAATCGCAGAGGCACAGAAGGGGAAGTTCCTAAAGCAGGAAGGTGAACAGGGGCACAATGGGATTCCAGAAGGAATACAAGACCAGATTATTAAGGAATATATTTATCCTACTATGAGCATGTATTTTATCCTATACCCAAGGAGAAACCATAAAGGTGTTCAGGCAGATCTGATATTTTAGACAGTGGTACAGCATGATGGATTGGAACACTGGAGCAGAGATACCTCCAAGATCAACAGAGACCTTCAAGTTCTCAGCTTTGGTATCTTGATGGAAATTGTAACCAAGATAAGGAGGCCAAGAAGAAGAAAAGTTGGGGAAAGGGGATTGAGGAGTGAGATGAAATTATTTGAGATGACTTGGATTTGAACTGGCTGTGGCCCATCCAGATGAAAATATGTTTGAAGTTCAGTAGAAAGACCACAATGGATTCGAGGAAAAGACCAACTGCGCTTTAAGCAGAAAAAGGTCAAAACATATTTAGAGGTTAAAAAGTATATATATTCCTTTATAACCATTTAAAAAGCAAGGTGAAATGCTCATGTGAGCATTTCATCAGCATGTTTTTATGAAGAGAATATTAGTTTTCCTCATTCTGAGATGACCTCGATGGCGCCATTCAGTCTTCTCAAGTCCCTCTGAGTGTATGAACCATAGTTTCTGTGTATTTTTTAAGATCTTTTTTCCTCCCTGAATTATCTGTCTTTCCTTTGGAGTCAGTTTCCTTTCTGGTGTTTCACTTTCATGCTGCAGGCTTTTCTCAACTGTGTGGTGACCCATGGTTGGCCCTTCAGACTTAAGAATGAGCGAATAAGAAAGTTGTTTATGTGTCTGCCTTTCTTACTGGACAGTAGATCTTTGAGGAAAGGATTATGTTTTGTTCACCTTTTTTGCCAAGATGCTTTGCAAACTTGGGTTGCAATATTCCAAGCATAGTACTTACAGAATAGTAAGTAACCCTCTCTTTCCTATTCATACCATATTTGGAGGAAGAATGACATTAATAATCAACAAGGAGGACTGAGTCGGTTATAAAATTGACTTCTGTGATCAACAGTTGAATAGTTATATCATTAATTACACAAAGAGGATGTTTCACTTGGAAAAGAACAGGCAGCAGGAAGTAGAGGAAATGAGACATTAAAAGTATAGTCAAATATTTGAATGACTGTTGTACAAATGCCACTTAAAATGATGGGCATTTACCCTCTATCAGACAATAGTCTGCAAATTAAACAGGTAACTCTCCCAATCCTCTGAGGTAGGAATTTTCCCCCCATTTTACAAATGTGAAATGGAAAGGCAAAAATGTTAAGTAATATTCCTAAGGCCATATTGTCAATAACTGGTAAAGCCAAAATTTGTATCCAGGTTGACTATATCTGGAATAGCCTTTAATTAATATAGACCTAATTATCACACATTGAAGGTTTTAGAATTTAGAAATGGGTAAACTTTATTAGCAATTGGAATTTCCCAGTGATGAACGAACAAGATCAAATGGCAGAAATGTCAAGAGGACATACAGTAGTCTCCCCTTATTGGCAGTTCCACTTTCAGGGTTTCTGTTGCCTGCAGTCAACTGCAGTCTGAAAATATTAAATGGAAACTTCCAGAGTACACATGGTGCCATTGTGAGTAGTGTGATGAAATCTCACACAGCCGTGCTCTGTCCTGCCCGGGTTGTGACTCATCCCTTTGTCCAGTGTATTCATGCCGTATACTCTACTTGCTGGTTAGTCACTTAGTAGCCCTCTGGGTTACCAGATCCAGGGGTGCAGTATCTCAGTGCTTGTGTTCAAATAACCCTTAAACTTAATAAAGTCCCCAAAGCCAACTTTATTATTAATTATTGTTGTTATCTCTCACTGTACCTCATTTATAAATGAAACTTTACTGTAGATATGTATGTACAGGAAAAAAGATAGTACATATAGGGTTCGGTACTATCTGAGGTTTCAGGCATCCATGGGGGGTGTTGGAACGTATCCCAGTGTGGATAAGTGGGGACTACCGTATTTGCAGTGGTCAAGATGTTAGACCTTCAAGATCTACTCCAAATCCAAGAGTCTCTAATGGTGGTTTTATGTGTGTTTATGTATCTATCCTCTCCAAAGGAAATGTAAAATTCTTGTGGGTATGGATAATGTCTTATACTTTGTCATGTTCTTCTCTCCATACATATGTTGTATATACACAGTAAGCACAAATACTTGTTGGTTAATTTTGAGATACTTTCCACTGACTAGCCTTTTAGAACAGGGTCGATTATCTCTTCTCTGTGATGTTTAGCATGAAGGCAACAGAACAGATTGATGACTTCTAAAGCTCCCTTCCAGGGCTATGATTTGGTAGGAGACAAAAATAGACAGGAAAAAGTACCAACATCGCATGTCCTTCTGTGGCACAGTTGGAGAGTGCTATGCCAAGGTTTCTGATTTTAAAGGTTGTTTTTTAAAAAAGATAAAATGGAGTTCTGAGCAATTCTCAAAACGGCTTACTGATCATATCACCCAGGTCTTCTAAACTCCACCCTGGAAATGTAAGAAATACCAAATTGGAGTTGGGAAAAGGAGTTAGTCTTTCTGATGGCCTCAAGAATATGTCACACACAACAGCAAGCTGTCTAAATATTTCTAGACTACAACATTCAAAGACAAGAGGAGCAATCATAAAGATTTTACAAGGCAATTGTCAGCAAGGAGAACACATCTAAAAAATTATGGCAGGATTGGGGGTAATATTGCTTAAATGTCTCTCTAGATTGTTGAAATCATTTCGAAATGATCATTTTGCCTCCAAACAATGGCAATTTGATATTACAAATAGGACAATATAGTAATTTTTGAGCAAAAGCTACCGAGGTCACTTTGCAAATGACGTTATACTTGAATACATTATTTTCTTTTTTAAAAGCTAAGCAAAAGTGCAAAAAATATTATTCGGTCACAAAAGGAAGAGTATAGGATACTGATAATAACCCTCCAAATCTACTCTTGGAAATTTAAAAATAGTACATTCTACATAATCATTTTCATTCAATAGCAAAAACATAAAGACATGATTTGAGGTAAGAGAACTAGATGTCCTTGTTTTAAGAGAAGAGTGATGAGAGTACCTTTAGTCTTTGAAAGTATCAAATGATCCTATGAGAGTGAAATATGATTGATCTTAAAATTATACCTACATTGACTAAGACAGCCCTTAACTTCCAAATAAGCCATTTACAAATTAGAAGCAATTTCTGCTTACCTGCTGCTCCCCTCTTGACCACGAAGCCATCCCTGGCCCCAATGATAAAACCTGTTTCCTCTGACCCTTTTCTTCAAATTGATGTCCTCAGTTGTTAGGGCCCCTCCTTCTAGGAGCAATGAAGTCTGTTAGGACCCCAATCAAGCCACCACTTTGGAGTCCCACTGCCTAGGAAATTCCCCTTGCAATCTGGCTTTTGCTAGCCTATCCCTATTAGTACCCTATTGACTTAGCTTCCTTGTCCCTTTTAAAAATAACTAGGGCTAAGTTCATCATAGACCTCACAGCTCAGAGCTACCCAGAAGGAAAGTTCAGCTATGTTTGAGTTTAAAATGTCTTTGTGGACTGGCCTGTGGCCTATCTTTTAGGACATTGTTTCTCTGGGGAATCTTGAAGAATTCTAACCAATCCAATTTTGAAACAGACATCTAGAGCAAAACCTATTCCTAGGCTAGGAACCACACATAATAATAATCACCCAAAATAAGCAGCAGGAGCTGAAATTACAGAATTGAAAATATTCCACCAGGGAAAGAAGAGGAACTAAGATATTGAGAATGTATATTTAATAGTTGTAGCGATAGAGAGAGAAAGTAAATTGGCCAAAAAAATGTAAATTAAGAAGGCTTTTTAGGTGAAACTACGAGCTAATAATGCTGTCATGGGAACCCCTATAAAACGCTTACATTGCAGTCTAATCAATCCCAGAATCCTCCCGTAGTTTAGGAAATCAGTTATTGAAAATACAGTGTCTTTTGTGTTTAGAATGTCCTCTCTGCTTTAGGCTAAAAAGTGTGTCAACACTAGATGTTAACAATAACCAAAAAGAAAAGAAAGCAAAGAAACAAAAAAAATCACTCCCTTTGTTCTTCTTTTAAAAGGAAAGCACTAGAAGAAACAGAAAAATAACAAGGCCACATTACTAATCTAGTCAGAATTGAAAGGGCATGGAAAGGTCACAGTTGGGTAGGGTGCGTGAACTCAACACCAAGAGGATTGGGAAGTCATTCAGCTTTGACTTAATACTGTAAAAGCGTTTGTGCTTAATTATGGAAGCCCTTGGGGGCTCTTCCTTTTCCCCTTCCAATGTGGGGAGTCATCAGTAATGGAAATTACCTGGTTGTGAGATTAAGAAAGACAATGCTCTGGACGCCAACCAGGGGCCACCATGGTTCTGACAAATTACAACCCAGCCTCCCTTTTAGGGCAGCAGGATATCACTCTGGGGGATTTTTCCATCAGCCAAAGTATACCTACCTGGATCTTTGTAGAAGTGACCTTCAATTAAGGCAATGATTTCCTCATTACCCATTTTCCACAGGCTCATTTTACAGAGAAACTCCCAGGGAGCACGAAATGGGAAAACTCAGAAGGAACAAGAAGAGGGATTTTAAAATCAGGATAGTCACTGTAGCCTCAGGGGGAAAGGTGGAATGTTTTTGGAGCCTTTATAAAACTTTATTTTATTTACAATGTTTTCCAAGGACAACTTTTACTAAGGGACATGGGTGTCAAAATCACAGCAAAGGGACACTTTGTTAGACGGATGAAGGAGCTCCTCTCTGACCCACTCATGCTTTGGGCCAGCATGTCACTGGGGAATATTTTTATGTTAGCAACAAAACCTATCTCCTAGACTTCACAATGGGAGAATGTTTGCTGCAGCCAGCCACAGCTTAATCAGTATGAGCCCATCCAATATCTCTATGGAGAACTGAAAATTACCCCAGAAATCCTGTCTGTCAAAAGTGTGGTACTCAGTAGGTAGGGCTTCCAACCTCATGAGCAAGTCTGCAATTAAGCTCAAGATTGGCCTAAAAACTACTCTAAAAAGTAATATACCCCTGGTATAGAGCCAGAAACAACATAAAAGGAGAGCCACAACTACAATGTGTTATTATTTGTCTACGACTTGACCTAGCACCAGTGATGCTCCATTACTGCTCGCCTGATTGGAAGTGGGAACGAAGGAGCAGAAACCCAGTTTGGTGCACATTCTGTTTCCATTGACCAGGGTGTCTAGAAAAACAGACTGTGTCCAGTAACCCAACGGCATGTGATCAGAGGAATGTAAAGAGGAACAGCCATGCTTTAACCCATATTTTCTCAATAAATCTTTTCCTTAAATTTTTAGTTTAGTTGACTCGCAAATATCCTTCATGAAATAAGTACTCCTGTTCCCAGCTGAACAGGAGTACTGACTTGCCCTCTACTTCAGAGAAATCAGGCAGAGAAGAGTTTTGGTGAGGGGTGTCTGTGTCTGTGTGTTTTGTGGTTTCTTTGTTTTGCTTTCTCTTGTGGTTTTGATCATTCCCTGCCTTTCCTCTGATAGTACGTTATTCTATTATCATATTTCTTATTCAGAGCTGACAGCATGTACAGAGAGACATAGGACACAGTCTCCATGTCCATTTCAGAGCGTCATGGTCCATGTTAGGAACACAAACAATTCAGAAAGAAAATATATTATGAAGGTTTCAATTATCAGATGTGCAAAGGAGCCAGTGTCAGTGTGAGCTATTCCATGAGACATCCTGGTACAGCGCTCCACACAATCAAGGCCTCACCTAACAAAGGATGATGACACGTCCAAATTAATGTTTTTAAAAAACGGCTCACACAACAGTAGAATCATTGAGTTTTGCAACTGATAAGGTCCTGAAAGATTACTTAATTCAACGCCTGTCTTTTACGGATGAGAATACTGTCGGCCCAGCAGGATGAAGCAATGTGTTCAGCATTGCACAGAATTGTGGCAGAATTGGGACTGGACTCCCAGCACAGTGCTCTGAAATTAAGTTGTGCTTTCTCTTGTATGCTTTCATGGGGGAGACTCTCCCTGCCATTGTTCTCATCCCCCTTCAAGCATGTATTTTAAAAATTTTTTTAAAGGGTAACATTTTGTAAAAAAAAAAAAATTAGCACTACAGATGTGTGTGGGGCCTGTTCCACATGTATCTCAGTATAGCCAAGTGATTCTTCTGTTCCACGAGGCTTAATATATGTCAAGGAAACATACTGCACAAGATTTGCAGAAGAACATACTGTTCCAAGCCCTTCCACTTCTGACGTGATTGCTGTTTATTGCAAACTTCATACCTGGAGTCCACTGATCCTGTCAGCCTAAAAACTTTTCATTTGTTGAAGAAAATTTCTCAACGGTAATCATTAGGCCATGTCTTCATGTAATCTTCCCAAAGTCAATATGTCCTCATTTCCCCCTCAAAAGCAGCTGAAAATTTCTGAACTCCAGTGGTATACTCCTACACCAATATGCATAGGTTCTTCCTTATTTAGCATCCTTACAAGGGTAGCCTAGAAGGTTCTTTGCCTCCAAAACCTTCCCCACTTGGATAACATGGCCCCTGAAATCTCGCCATTCTCTAGGTTAAGTATTGTGCTCTTGCAGTGATAAATTTCTTTAAAGGTCTTTGTGAGGGAGCAGGGAGAAGAAAATAAAATGCAGGACCCTCACCAAAAAGAAGATGGAGTTAAAAATGAACTCCGTCACCTGCTTTCTAATTTTATTGACAGTGAACCCTGAATGAAGTACTAGCCTCAGATTTTGAAACAAAAACTATGGATTCATGCTATCTGCCACAGTTGGATATTTAGATAAAAAAATTAAAAACAAAGCAAAACAAAACAAACACAACACACTAACACCAACCCTGATAAAAACGAAGAACTGGACATTTCATATCACTCTCAGTTGAAAACAGCTGAACAATGACAAGAGCAACGTCTGCCGAACAGTGGACACCTGTGGCTTCTGATCACCTGGCATTCCTTTTTTCTTCACAGAACCCAGAGACCCTCTTTTTCTCTTGGAGATTGTCTCTCTGCACTCTGTTTATGACGTGCCCTCATCCACACGAAAGTGGCTATCTTATAGCTACATAATAAAAGTATTCACTTGACAGGATCAGGTCTAATATTAACTACAGAGATATCAGAGTTTATCTGTCTAAGACAGATAACTGTTTAAAAACCCAAGGCAGATACTTTCAAACCAAGGGCCAAAGAATTTTAAAAATCAATGAGACAGGAATTTGCTTTGGCAGACAAGATTAAATTTCAGTACGTGTAAATTAGAATACGAGTTGAATTGAGGATGTTTGACTACATCCATTCTCTGCCTCAACATAATTCCAAGGTCTGTGAAATCACAAAGCAGTTTAAAAATCCAGCAAAAGAACCACAGTGGAGAAATGTGCCTTTGCATAACAGACTAGAAACAATAGCCCAGTATGAATTTAAGAAACCATTTGACCTCATAAAACACAAGCTAAAGGATATTACTGTGAATTTTCAAAAGAATAAACCAATTGTATTAGCTAACCTTATTTTATTATGACGCTTTCGTTCCATCTTCTTTAAGACAAACCTAAATTCAAAACATCAATTTCCCATATTTTATTCTGTCACAGAACTGCTGCACAACCTTGCCAGATTGGAACTCGCCGGGGATCTCAGTTCTTCCACGTGCGGCGCCAGAGGGAAAAGCGGTGCCTTTCGAGGCTGGTTATACTCAGGTCCATCCTGAACTCTGTGAATGCAAAATTTACTTAGAAATGTCCAATGTGTGCTGGCTTTTCTACCTTACATTTCAAAATTCAAACCTATATATTTCGTTTTATGGCCTGTCGCTTTACAATTTTGCTGTCTCGGCTTTTACGTTTCTATAATTTCTACTTTCTACAACTAAAACTCATACTGAAAAAAATCAAGAAGAGAAAGTGCAGGAGTGTCTCTCACCCAATATTTTTTCTTTCCCTCTACACTGCTGTTTATCGTTCTTCCTGGGGTGTTTATAGTACTTCAGCAGGAGGAAAACGTGCCTGCGAAAGGTAACCTGTTGTACCAACAGGTGGAAGTCTTTTTAAAATATAAACCTTCCCCCAAAGCCTGTGTTGTTCTGCATGACTCCCTCACGTCCTACAAACTTTTCTGTGGCCTCAGGCTAAGTCCATCTAGGCAGCAAATTTTGTGGCTGAAAATCAACCAGCAAGTATTAATTTATCACTTCCTACAGAGGAGGCAAGGTACTTAGACAATCTGACGGTTTAACATAATAAATTGAAGGGAGAAGGCTTTGTTGAAAATAACGCCCACTGACAAATAGTCTACCCTATATGTTTGACTGAACTACCAAGGCAGGAAATTGTGTAACAATTCAAGGCAAACAAAAAAATCACATAAATCTCTGTGACAAACGTGTGCAATATTGATATAGATTCTTGACTTTATAAAACTGACGGAGTGTTTTGGTTGTATTTCACATGAATTACCCAAATAAGCCAGTCTGTGGATGTCTGGTATTAGGTGTAAAAGAAAATTTTAAATTCTTCTTTGGCCCTCTCTAGGAGGGTGCAGGACAAAGCAGAGAACGTGAGTCAGAGAAGACGTTATTGCAGAGTTGTTTGGAGTGATGCTTTCCTGTACACCAACTCATTAATGTGTTATAAATAATGATTAGAAAAATTCTCTTTTTAAAAATTATTTATTGAGCACCTGCTTCAAGTCACTAAAGCTGAAATAATACCATTAATATTCTGTTACTACTTCAGTAGGAGTTAAGCAGATTTTTGTGAGTTTCATAAAAGACTAGACAATTTTTCTAGAAAAATGTGTCCCTAGCTCATTTTCAATCTACAAAATTATCAAAACAACAGCAATGACAACAACGAGAGCTTCTCTGGTCAGCCTGGTCTCCACTCCAATTTCACTGCTCTCCAGAGACTGTTCAGGACCACTCTCTCTCTCTCTCACCATATGAGACAGGAGAAAATGGAGGAGAGTAGCAAGAAGCTGCCCCCTCAGAACAACAACCCTGCTTGTAATTCCACTCATTCCACACTTTCCACACTTTGCCTACAGAGATAACAGAGGAGCCATCCCTCTTTCAGTCTCGAGCAAGTCTGACCTTCTGGGCTCTGGACTGGATCCTCTCCTGCCTTCTCAGGCAATTTACATCCTGACTATCTTTTTTGTACCTTATTTTGAGCATCTCCCCCAATACTAGATTCTACCTCCCAGCATTTTCGAATATTTGAGAATACCCCACCTTCAAAGCAGACCAAAAAGAAAAAAATCTACCTCCCTCCACACTAGACTTCTTCCTTCCAGAGCTATTGTCTGTCTCCTCCCCTTCAGTAGAAACTTTCAGACAGAATTAGCTGTACTCATTGTCCCTATCTCTTTACCTTCCATTCACTCCCTAGCCCACTCCAATCTGGCCTCCAGCCCTGTCCCTCCATTACTGCACTGAAATGGCTCTTGTTACAGCCAACTCTCAGTCACCACCACACCAGTATCTCCAACTGCGTGTGTCTTCATCCAACTAGAACTTTCAATGCTATTCAACTCCTTTGTCTAGCATTTCCCTTCAGAAATCCCCCTTCTACTTGACTTTTATAACAATATACACTCCTGGTTCTCCTCCTACCTCTCTAGCTGCTGATTCTCAGTCTTTTGTTGGCTCATCCTGACAACCCAACCTTTAAATGTTCCTCAATGTTCTGTCTTGGTCTCCTTTTCCAATTCTCTCAGCAATTCCATCCATTCCTTCCACTTTGACTATAGTTATTATAATTACTATATTATTATATTATGATATATTACTACATATCAGTGACTCACAAATTTATATCTCCAATCCAAACCACTCCTCCATATTCCTAACTCATTTGATTTTCTCAGAGACTAAAAACTGAACCTAGACCAAATCGAACTCAGGATCTTCCTCTCACACTAGTCTTCAAGTGTTCCGTGCCTATGCAAATGTTATCTATCACCACCACCCATCCAGTTGTGGAAGCTGGAATCTTTCTTTTCTTTTTCCTCCCCAAAGCCCCAGTACACGGTTGTATATCGTAGCTCTAAGTCATTCCAGTTCTTCTATGCGGGTTGCTGCCACAGCATGGCTTGATGAGCGGTGCATAGGTCTGCCCCCAGGATCCTAACCAGTGAACCCCAGGCTGCTGAAGCAGAGTGCGAGAACTTAACCATTGGGCCATGGGGCCACCCCCCTGGAAGGAATCTTAAGGGTCATCCTTGACAACACCCTCCCGTTCACTGGCATATCCATCTCTTCATCTGTCCTGTCGATACCTTCTAAATACACCAGGAATACATCCTCTTCCAGTCTCCACTTCTGTGATCCTTGTTCACACCACTCTTATTTAGATTCTACTCTAGACCTACCTGGTCTCTTTACTTCTTCTCTTGATCCACTTGTAATCCATTTTTCATGTAATCGCCGGAGTCATCTAATAAAAATACAAAATAAAATTAAGTTCTGTTAGAATAAATTCAACATTTCTTGACTATTTTTTTTTGGCCTCTGATATTTTTTAAATTGTATTTTAATGATGTTTTGTAAAAATTTTAGTTCTCTATATGAAATTATGATTAAATTTTAAGAGACAGCCACTTCCCTATTTGATTGCTCACACAATATTTTACAGATCACCCTTCTTAAAAATAGTCCTTTTGAAATTTTGAGTATGCTCTCTCATGATGTTTTTATTGGTTTGATGAGTGTTTCTATTGGTTATTATTATTTTAATTTTCTTAATTAAGTAATTCAATGAAGGCAGAATGCTCAAAGATTATTCTTTCAGACAAATAATATGCAGTTTTCAAATTCTAGCCCTTAACCTTCAGCACCAACAAATGTTTTGAATCTACTAACATGATTCAAAATTTAGCTTTGTCTTATAGCATCTTGTCATTGCACATGCTATATTACAAAAAATTTGCATTGTAACTTTGTTTTAAAACTTTAGATTGTCGTCCTTTCTCCACTATTTGAAGAATTTTCAAGGTAACTTTTAAAAGGCCAAAAATGAAGGATCAGAAAGAAAAGGTTCATTTGTTTATTTTCTTCCTTCCTCTGCCAAATTAAGACAATAGCTATACACGAGGTCCAAAAGACACTTCTTGAATGGTAGTCATTTGACAGAAGTGCCATTTTTAATAGAATTATTTTAAAAATAGTAAATTAATTTAAATTCCAATTTTTAATCTTTCCCCAGTTTCATTTCTTCCATTTTTACATTTCAAATATAGGTTAGCTCCTACTAAAAATCTGTTGTTTTATCGCTTTTCTGAAATATGTGGGTTTGATGCTTTAAAAAACTTGACTAGATGATCCAGTCTTGAAATACCAACCTGAATCTCCATATTGCATCAATCTGAAATACTTTGAGGAAGTTAGTGGCTCAAGTAGCCTCCTGGGAGCAATGGGTCTCATCTTATTTCTGACAAATTGATGAGAGCTTGATGAAAGGAATCAAACATTTACCACCCAGTCTGTTCTTAATGACGGGCCAGCTCCCGCCCAGCTCAGGAGGGGGAAGCCAGCGTCTCATTCCCGCAGCAGCCCCTGCGTGGGAGCCATGGGGCCGGGTACTGCCCACCAGGGCCTCTGCCCGCATTTTGGGTTGATGAATCTTCTCTTCAGTGGAACTGGGTCCTATCTAGTCTGGGGATTTGTGATGTCAGGAAGAGTGATGTGTTCATGAGACCAAAATAAAATCAACCTAGGAAGGCTGCCAAATTCTTCCTCTGTCTATCACTTATTTTCATGTAAAGGTCGGTCTGTCTCCTTTGTTGGGGAATTGCAGAAATCTAAAACTGACCCTTTTCAGCACTTAGTGGAATCCAACAGCAGAGGAAAGAGGTTGTTAGCAAGGACAATTTGCTCTGGCCCAACCCACTAGTGGGCAATTATCAATCAGCGTGCTAGGGCTCCATTTACCCAGTACTATGTGGGAACGAAGGAGTCTAGAAAAGCCTCAGACCGCCTAAGACCAGAGAAATCAGAGGCAGAACTTAAATATGATATTTCCCCCAGAGTACATAGAGCATGTCTTCTAAGTTGCTTGGAGGAAGGCTGGCAAAAACGCTCAGCTGGTGAGCAAGGAAGGAGACAGGCGTTTGCCGCGCGTTGACCCGCTGGAGGAGCCCTTCCCGGGGAAAGGCGGGAGGGAGCCGGGGAGGCGGGGTTGCAGAGTGGGGGCAGTCCTTCTCTGAGTGCACGATCTGGTGGCTTTATTTGTTGGCCCGGTGGGTCCAAGCTGGGAAATGCACACTCAGCAGGGAAAGGGGAAGAGAGATTGGCAGCAGTTTTCTAAAAACAACACAGCTCAAGTCTCCTGCGTGTGTCCCCTCGCTCACCCCGCCGAGGCACAGACGGGTCAAAACGAGCTCCCTGGAGCGAGCGCGGCCGCCCAGTTCCCACTAGGAAGAAGGCGGGTGTCTGTTACTCCAGGACGGCCCGGCCGCGGCACCCGCCCGGTTCCCCTTCTCTGTCAACCGGCCAGGCTCTGAGAGGCGCCTCTCCCTCCGAGCTTTGGACCGAGGTCGCTCGGGGTCACCCCAAATCTGATGATGCCGCTCCCCGGCGCAGCCGGCGACTGGGACTGGCGGGGGGGCGCCCGGGGCAGAGAGGACGACGCGGAGGCGGCCACGCGCGCCCGTCGTAGCCAAGCGCCCGGGCTTTCCTCCGCAGCGCCTGCTCCCCGGGGTCCGCCTGGGCGCGGCTGGCGCCCCCGCCTCGCCTCCCGCCTGCCCGCGGCCTCGCCACTGCCCCGCCACGAGCCCTTCTGCTCGACCCAGGCATTTGACACCCGACCTCATAGTGCCACCTTCCCACCCCGCCGAGAAAGAGGAGACTGGTGAGGGAACGGGGCGCTCGCGGGCAGGGCTCACGGCGCCCGGGGGGCTGGGTCTCCAGCTTGGAGGCGGGGGCTCCCCAGGCGCGGACGCGGGAGGAGGAAAGCTCGACCCGGAGAGAGCGCGCGGGGAGTGCGGGCGCCGCGGGGGCTTGTCGCGCGGCTAGGGGCCTGCCTGCACCCCTAGGGGCGCGCGTCACCGCTCCCAGCGCGCGCCTTGGGCTGTCTTTCTCTGGTCCCGCCCCTAGTTCTTCCGCCAAAACCTTTGACCAGGGTCTCCTTGCCAACATTCCTAAATGTCCTTTGCCAGCTCTTTGCGCCAGGTAGGAATAAGGCTCTGCCTTCTGGGTGTGTACATAAAAGTCAATTCCAGAAGGTGTAGTGACCTTTTCACCTTCCCCACGAACTCCTTCGGAGGGGGTCCGCGGGCCTTTACGCCTCCCAAGGGCTTGATCAGTGGCCGAAACCTGTTTGTTCCCTGAAATGTCCTTGCTATTCATATCCGCAGAGGCCTTCTGCAGCAATTCCCAGAAAGCCCTCGAGGATGGAACTGGGGGACATCCAGCCCATAGTGAGGACGCGCCGCCGGGGGAGGTGGGGGTAGGTAGAAGCTAGAGGGCCGGCGTGACAGTTGCCTGTGGCCAGGAGCGGGCACCGTGAGAACACTGCCAAGAGCACCCCTCCCCTCCGCCGCCACTGTTCTCCCTCTTCCGGGATGCACAGAAACAGGGACCACTGGACGCCTAATTTCCAAATCCCCACACACCTGGGCTCCGAGATCTGAGGCTGGGAGGGGTCGGGCGACGGCTGCCCCCTAGCTGGAAGGCGCATCACCTCCCACCCTCCGGCGTTCCCTCTGCCCCAGAGGAGATGGCACCAAATCGCGCTTAACAATGGAGCCCGCGGCGCGCCGCGGGCGCCCGGGCGCGATGGGCGCCCAGCAGCGCACCCTGATACGGGGCAGGGCCATGTGGGGCTGCAGCCCAGGCTCCCTCGCCCGAGTGGGCTGACCCGGCTTTACGCGGCTGCGATCCTCGCCCGGCTCTACGGTGCGTCTCCCACTCCAGCCCAGCTTTCCGCCCCTCCCTCTAGCCCTGGCCCGGAGCGTCCGGGGGCACCCTGCTGCCCTCTGTCCCAGGTCTCCGGCTGGCCCTGTGGGGAGTGGCGGGGCGCCGGCCCCGCGCTCCTCGCCGCCGGGGCGCCGGCCGGGGATCGGAGTTGTGACAAGCAACGGCCACCTCCCGGGCGCTCGGCACTCCTCGGCGGCTGGATCCTGGAGATCCTCCGCGAGCTCCTCGCTCTCCCCCCGGGGGTCCTGAGCGAGCACGCCGAGGTGGGCTAGCCCGGCCCTGTCGCTGCCAGCGACCTCGATGCCCCCTCCCCAAACACACACCCCCTCACGCCCTGGACGAAGACCGCCGGCGCCTCCCTTCCCGTGGAGATCCCTGCAGGGCCTCCGGGAGAGACGGACAGACGGACGGGAAAAGCACACGGAGGGAAACTTGTTCCTCCCGGTCTCCTGTCAGGCAATTACTGGCGAGCCCGTGCGGGGAGAGGGGAGGGAGGAAGCGAGCGGAGGGCTCTAGCAGGGGAGGGGAGGACGGCGGAGGGGGAGGCGGGGTGCAGTTGGTGAAACTCCTCGGTCTCCCGCTCATCTTTTCATTGCTTGCTCCTCTCCTTCACGCAGACACCCCGGACCTCCCCTGGGCGCCAGCTCCTCGGCTCCAACGGGTCCAGAAGCAAGCTGGATTTTTTATTTTTTTGTTTCTGGAAATTGGCTTTGGTGTGTGTTTCCCTACCTCCCTCCGCCCCCTCCCAGCCCCCCTCCCTTTTTTTTTTTTTTTTTTTTTTTTTGAGACATGGCCCGGGCAGTGGCTCCTGGAAGAGGAACAAGTGTGGGAAAAGAGAGAGGAAACCGGAGCTAAATGACAGGATGCAGGCGACTTGAGACACAAAAAGAGGAGCGTTTCTCTCGGATCCAGGCATCGCCTCGCGGCTTCCCTTTCTCCGGGACGGACTGAGGATTTTACAGCTCTGGGCGGAGTGGAAGCGCTTCGGATTGTTGAGATTACCCCTTTGCTCGTTTTCACCCCGCACGTTCTCGTTCTCCCGCGTCTGCCTGGGGATCCGGCGAAGGGAGAATGGAGAGGGGGCTGCCGCTGCTCTGCGCCGCGCTCGCCCTCGCCCTCGCCCTGGCCGGCGCTTTTCGCAACGGTAAGTGACAGGCGGAGGCGCGTGTGACAGCGCGGCGCCCGGGGCTCCCCGGCTGCCCGTGTCCGGCCGGGGTTGGGCTTCCCGCCCCAGCCACGGGACTCACGCAGAGCTGCCAGGATGAACCTGGAGCAGCCACCTCCCGGGCGAAGGGAACTTTTATCCAGGCGGAGAAATACGATCATTCGGTTTAGGGCAGGAAGATTTCAAGTCTTCCGGCTCCTTGCTGAAGTTGGTTGTTTGGCTGCGGGGGTTTTCCTACCTCTGTTACAAGGCAGAGCTGCCTACCTTCCCAGATCAGCACACCAATTATCTTAATAATGTTTCCTCCCAAAGGCAATTAGATGAGACTCCCTTTCAAAAATCTGATGGCTGTTGAAAGTTAATGAACACTTTACCAGGAGAACTTGCTGGCTCTCTTGCAGCTCCCCTGAACCGTTTCCTGTGGTGGGTGCCTGCAGGAGATAGCGGCTTGTTGGCTGATGGAACTCCCTGCGCCTTTGTAAATCGTCCCTAAGCCGTCTGGAGCATGAATGAAAGTTACGTAGTGTCAATAAAGGAATCTGATGTACACAGGGAAAGGCACCAGGATATCTGAAAATCCCTAACCTAGTTGCAGCTTCCACTCATCTTTAAACCACTCACTCTTAAGTAAATGAAAGACTATGCTGTAACCTAAATAACGTGTTTGACTTACACTGTAAAGTAATCGAAGGCAAGGATATGAAATTCTCTTTACAGTACGTCTTTAGCAATTATTATTAACTAATTATCAAATATTTACTTTTGTCTGGCTTAGATTTCAATCAGAGTAATTAGAAGAAAAGAACATCCGCTACTTACCGTGTTATATTGTTTTAATAAGAGACCACAAGTGGAGGGGTTCACACGAAGAAGAATTTCAATCACATATTATGATGGAAGTTAATCTCTCTAATATGCTTTTTGGAGGTTTTGTGATTGAAGCAATAGATTTCCCCAACAGCTACCAAGCAATGTTCTAAAAGATACTCTTGGAAGCAACACACACACACAAAATTGTGAATGTGGAGTTCAATTTATTAATGAACCTGAGTTAGTGGCATCTTTCTATAATCTGGCAGGGGATCAAATAACATTCTCCTCCAACTGAAAGAGCTCAAGTGGTTGGACTTTAGAAATTATAGTAACTCTGCCCTCCACAACTGCGACATTAATTCAGTGATGGAGATGTTCACACGATGGATTTGAAGCCATTCAAATAGCTTTCAGACTTTAGGTTTTAAACGCCATGTACGCACAGGTATATGTGTATGTGTTTGAATGTGTATATATATAATTTAACAGGAATCTGGGGAATGGGAGAACCTGAGCTCAGGTCGGTGAGCTTGCCTGGGTAAGCCGTGCTGCTGTGTTTGCAGTGCCCAGAGCCGGTGATTGCCTCTGTAGCTCAGCAGACCTCTTGAAGCCATGTCCACCTCCTCCCAGTACCAGTGTCTGCTGAATTAATTCATTAACCTTATTTAGGACTAATGGTCCAGAGTCATTAGAAACTGCTCTTTCTTAATCAACTGTTAGAGAGATTTACCAGAGCCAGGGAGTGCACCAGTCCACATTATCTTATTACACTGTCACTTTCTCAGAAGTCACAGATTAAAAAGCTCTGGTGTGGTACTCAGTCCACCTAAATGTCTTCTGAAGTGACTCTGTCGAGTGACTTGAAGCAGTGCTGTTTAATTTCACTCCTCTAACAGACGCCAGACCCTGCCATGATGTTTGCACAGAGCTGGAGGAGACGTAATGAGATGGGGTCACTTTCCAAGTTTTCTGCACATTTAAAATAATGGAAGGGCCTCAGTAGAATCTCAGAGTCCAATATGATCATTAGTGAGATTCTGAACTCCGGTTGCAGCATCATTTCTTCTTGGCAAACCTTAAGCTTTTAAAAGCCAAGGCAAAGGAAACCAGTATAAGGCTAACCTCAGTCTAAGAAACATAGTCGGAAACATCTAGCAATTGAGAAAAACAATATAATTTCTATTGTCTTCTTTTTAATTTACGGGAAATGATTTCTGTAAAGCATGTAGCTTTATGTATTTTTGATGTGCACTTCATCTTTCATTTCTATTTGACCTGGTTTTCCTGTAATAAAATTCTGTAGATTTATAAATTCATGCTGAGAGCAAAGAATGCCATTCTCTTTCCACAGGGAATCTATTAGATGCAATATTAAAATCTATATATACCATTACTGAAAATTTGTGATTGATAGGCTTGTATATTTCACTGCTTTCGTACCTGTTCCTCTTACATAGTTTATGCACCGAATTTTTATTGCTCAGAATTAAACATCAATAAATGTGGCAGCATTTCAGTCTGAGGCTCTCCAGTATGAAATCCATCATAAAAAGTGACAATGAGAATCTATGCCGAACAATAAAGCAGCTCAGAGACTGGTTTATTTGGCTTTCAGTGAGTCACTTCAGCACTGGGGGTTTTTGAAAAGCAGGCTCAAAACTAGTTAGCTCCCCTTTCCCAGAATGTGAGAATGGGGCTTACCCTATGGGATGCCCAGCCCTCAGGGTGGCTGGGTTTTGTTCAACATATAGGTAATTAGAATTAATGCTGTGTGGCTATTTATTTTTCTTTCTGTCCTATTGCTTTGATCTAGTCTCCAGACCTGAGCAACTTTGCTTGGAGCAGTAGAGCAGAATTCTTTCTGCTTCACCAAATACACTTTGTTCTCTCTTGCTCTGGATCTCAAGAGTAGAGATAACTTAAAATCACTTAGATTTATGGGCAGATAAAACAACAACAAAAAAGGTTTGTCTTGGAAGACAATCCCCACTGATCAATGACACAGACCAGGCTTATCATCAAAAAGCTACACCAGGGGTCAGATAGCATCTTTTAGTCACCTTCCACTTAGAACTTGCTACTTAATGCGATTACACTTCTTGGGGGATAATTAAGTCTAGCAGAAGCTCCCTAGGGACCATGTTAACATCCATTGAGGGGATTTAATGTTTTGAATGCTAGAAGACCTTTTTCTTGGGACGGAACTTTGTGGGGGCGGGGGGTGGAGCCCTGTCAGTTCTCAGTCCTCTTTCCTCCTGAGCCAACATTCCTGGGATCAAAGAGCGTTCTTGGTGGGCTGCTGCTATCAGCGCCACCTGAAGGACCTGCGGGGACCTCTTGGCATTCCCTATAAGAAGTTATGGAATGTTCAATGACTGGTAATTTATATAGAGAGTTGGAATATCTAACCGGTTGTCAGGGAAAGATCTACTAAAATGTTATTTTTATTGCAGACAAATGTGGCGATACTATAAAGATTGAAAGCCCCGGCTATCTTACATCTCCCGGTTATCCTCATTCTTATCACCCAAGTGAAAAATGTGAATGGCTGATTCAGGCTCCCGACCCATACCAGAGAATTATGATCAACTTCAACCCCCACTTCGATTTGGAGGATAGAGACTGCAAGTAAGTGAGACCGCCTTTGAACAGGGCGCCACAGCACCATCTAGTGGTCATGGGTGGCTAAGGGGGAAATGTCTGTCCGTCTGATACGGAATATGAATGAATCCAGGAGGGACTCCAATCTAGGCCAGATCATATGTCAGCGGCATGGAAATTAAATTATGTTAAGCGATTTCTGAGTTCCCCAAACTAGGAAGATTATATTTAAATGTGTAGTCTTTATTCTTTTTCCTGTTAACAGTTTGGTCTTGGAACTCATTTTTAAGAAATGTATATACATGTGTTGGTTTTTTTTCCCTGGGAAAGGGGAAGAACTGGAAACCTAAACTCTTGCTTGAGTCTTTATTAAATATCGTGGTTCACTAACATATACTGCATTGACAGATGGTGAGGTTGGATATTTTCTGGCAAATCTTTGACACATTTTGTGATTTAAGAACTGTATTTATCTTATTGAGTTTGACGTGACAAAAACAAATTGTCATTGAACAAAAATAAGGCATATAGGATAAGTTGGATGAGGGGTTTTTGTAGTAGATTACAAGTCTCTTATGGAAAATGCTAGAAAATAATTGTTAATGCACAATGAATACAATGGGACTCAAATAACGAGTCATTGTTTCATCTGCTTTAGTCTTGCTCTCTCCTGTTGTTAAGTTACTAAGCGTCAACTTATGCTAGATTTTGTTATTATGAAAACATTCTCACCATAGACAGAGTCTGAACTGTATTTCCTCACTTTATGTGAAAGCACTGGTGTGTAGGTTTTGCCTTCCACAGTGTGGAAAATATGCTTTAACCCTGCAGGCAGCAGTCCTGTCCGATCCAGGTGTTCTCTTGTCTCTGGTCGGC